GGTTGATCTTAGTTTACTTCTTCTTAAGATTTAACCTAAAAAGATTAAAATATCAATAAGGAGTTGGAGAATTATTTGTGCAAGTCTTATAAGCCAGAATTAAAGTCCATTTGATTTATTCTCAGTTAGAAATTTTAGGTGCTCCATAGTAGTTTTATACATTATATGCTAACAGCAAGATAGTGTAGTCAAACATTGTGAATATTGCCTGAGAAATGCCTTGCGGACAGTGCCTGAAGGCTACCAGGCATGTATTCTAAAAGAATACAATGAGAGGAAGAAAAAAATCAAAGTATTTAATCATGTTTTATTAAAGAGTACAAAATTCACTTACAGTAAACTTCCTTGCTTCAATGATAGTTCTACACGTTTCGGTCTGTTTTGTACTTTTATTAAATCTGTCTAGATACTGTACAACAACTTAATTCTACAGTTTAGATTTTATAAACATAATTTTACTTAAATGTATCCATGACATTCATAGATTGCATAGACTGGCTGTTAAGTAACAGATTTTTGTACTTGAATGAAATTGAAAGCCAAAGGAATATTTTAGGAAAGAATTGCTGATTTGGAAGACATTTGAAATCCTGCTATTCATAGCTTGGAGGGTTTTTTTTGTTTTGTTTTTTTGTTTTGTTTTTTATGTACATCATTGTATTCAATGCAAAATATCACTTGTTTGATCAAAAATGCTACACATTTGCTAATAGAATTAAACATCTGCATAATAGAATAGATACATAGAATGTGACGGCAGATAAGAGCCATTTGGCCCATCTAGTCTGCCTGATTTTCTAAATACTTTCATTAGTCCCTGGCCTTATCTTATAGTTAGGATAGCCTTATGCCTATCCCACGCATGCTTAAACTCCTTTACGGTGTTAGCCTCTACCACTACAGCTGGAAGACTATTCCATGAATCCACTAACATTAGTAGCCCTTCTCTGAACTCTCTATAAAGTATCAATATCCTTCTGAAGATAAGGTCTCCAGTACTGCGTACAATACTCCAAGTGAGGTCTCACCAGTGTTCTGTACACTGGCATGAGCACTTCCCTCTTTCTACTGCTAATACCTCTCCCTATACAACCAAGCATTCTGCTAGCATTTCCTGCTGCTCTATTGAATTGTCTTCCTACCTTTAAGTCGTGTGAAATAATTACTCCTAAATCCCTTTCCTCAGATGTTGAGGTTAGGACTCTTGCACGTATCCACATTAAATGTCAGTTACCACAGCTCTGACCATTTTTCTACTTTACCTAAAGCATTTGCCATTTGGCAAAGGCACCAGAATAGAAAATATAAAAATGAGAGAGAAAAAGTGGAGAATAGACCTTGGTTAGGACGGGGACCGATCATGGTGACTCGCATGAATATTGCCAAATTTAGGAAGCTGGCTGATAATTCTCCTACTTCTCTAGGTTGGACTGCTTTTCAGTCCACTAGAAACCACGAGGAAATGGCTTAGACTTGTAGAATATTTACTGCCCATGGCATCTTTGAGATATGTTCCAAAATCAAGAATCTCCAGACTCCCAAACCTTCGTCACAAGTCTTTTTTAACCTAAATTTTACACTACTTTTCTCGTTTTTGAGGAATATTTTGTCAATCTGTCCGCATGCAATTTACATATGAAATTTCCACATTGTGGGGGTAATTAAATAAATGCACATGGTGTGTATCCCCCACAGTGATTTTAACTTTTGTTTTGTTTTTATTATTCTTTTATTTATGATACTAGGCTGATAAAATGGAACAATTAACAAAAAAATCCAATTATTATATTGATATATGTAAATGCCCACACACTTGCAATAGAATATTTATGTACCATACTTAAGTTTGGCTATATTGTTCATCCTACAGCTTTGATAAATAGAGCTTCAGAGCACGGCTCCATTCTGGATAGTGTGTACCCAATAAATATAAAGTTTATAGTTTCTGCATTCAGCATAATTGCCTACTCGTTCTGATCCATCACATCATGAACTATTCAATATAGTGCTGGAAAACGGAACGGAGCAAAGTAATATCTGGGTGCCTTTTAGATTAAATCAGAAGTATGAAAGGACATGAAAAAATGTCTCAAAATATTTTTGAAAGTGTATAAGATATCCTGTAGATATCTATTATTGCTGTGGGAAAAACAATGGTTGTGAGAAGAAATATGGGAAAAGATTATTTTGATTTATCGGATATACTTTTATACTGTTATGACAATTGTGAACATAACGGGAAAACTTTGTAATCCGAGATTGATTTATTATATATGAATCGAACTGTTTTGTTTAATGGCAAATACTAAAGTCGATTTAGGAATGTAACCACGTTGAATGTGCAGTGTTACAGGAGATCTGCTTTGTTAGTCGTAACTTATTGTCTCTGAACAGAGGTATAAATACATGCAAATATGTTTTACCTCTTTTCATGGATAATATAAGTTTATGCTGCAAAGCTAAATATATACTGAATCCCCATATATGTGTACTGACAGTAAAAATAATATATTGCAATATATCCATAGGAACTGAACTCAGCCCACAAAAAGGGTGCTAAACTGGACCACGGGCCAGCACAATCCCATTAAATGTAGATACCAGAAATACAAAAGAGGTCCAGGCACTCCAACAACTTCAGGCAAATTTATTAGAACCGAAGGTACATTGTAATGTTTCGACTCACAAATGGGTCTTCGTCAAGCTTGACAAAGACCCATTTGTGAATCAAAACGTTGCAGAGCAGGCCCGGACTGGCCATCGGGCATACCGGGCAAATGCCCGGTGGGCCGCGATGGCCTTGGGGCCGAGGCCGGCAGGGAGATCACAGGATCTCCCATGCCAGCCCCTGCAGGGCCAGCGCTATCCGAGCACCGGCCCTGCTGTGTGCCTCCATGGGCCGGTGGGGAGATCACAGATCTCCCTCACCGGCTCACAGGCAGTTACAGGCGGCCGACGGCTGGGGAAGGAGGGAGGCAGGAGAGAGGACTGGCGGAGCTCTAACTAGCAGCTCCGCCGGGTCCTCTCGCGGGATTCTGAGCGTTGCCGCGGTTACCACGGCAACGCTCAGATCTCGCGAGAGTGAACTCTAACCCGCAGGTTAGAGTTCACTCTCACCACTGGACCACCAGGGAAGCATGACAGCATGCCCCCCTCATGGCAACACAGCTCCCCCTTCTTACCTTTAGCCTGGGACATAACTTTTTTTTATTTTTTTATTAATTATTAATAAAAAAATATATTTAAAATAATTTCCCTAACAGCCCCCCCCCAGACACACACAGCTCCCCCAGACACACAGCTCCCCAGACACACACAGCTCCCCAGACACACAGCCCCCAGACACACACAGCCCCCAGACACACACAGCCCCAGGCCACACACAGCCCCCCAGACACACAAGCCCCCCACACACACACAGCCCCCAGACACACACACAGCACCCCAGACACACGCTGACACACACAGCACCCCTGAAACCACACACACAGCACCCCCAGAAACAAACACACACAGCACCCAGACACACACAGCACCCCACACCCACACATATGCAGCACATATATTATATAAAATAACCCTCCTTGAGTTAACAGACAAATAAAATTAGAAACCCAGAATGTGGCGGATAAAACACCCCTCACACACAGTACCTCTTACACAAACACACCTACCTCACACATACCAATAAGTCCAAATATATTTTATATATATATATATATATATACACTACACACACACACACACACACACACACACACTCACTCTTCTATACACACTCTGGGTCCTTTACACACTAGATCTCTTACACACACACTGCACCACCTACACACACACTACATTCCTTGTAAGCAAACACATACAACATTCTCTAAGCACACCCTCTCTACAAACCCTACACACACTACGTCACCTATTCACACACACTACTGCCCGATTGCACACACTCGCTACATCCCCTATAACACTATGCCCCTATACACGCACTCTCTACAGCCCCTAGCCACACATATTACACCCCAAAATTGACCTATTTACACAATACCACACTACACTCTACACACAGGCAATCCCACAAGCATGCGCCAAACACATGCACCATACACTTTCCTGGCCCTTTTGTCCTCTGGTATCCCACTTGTGGAGACACCAGAGACAATTTAAAAGCAAACACAGCGCAAGCATGTTATTACATTTGCTTGCGCTGCGCAGAACAAATGCAGGGCCTTTTTCTAATGCTAGAGCTCTTCAGCGGGGCTCTGCGCATTGAACCAACATGCTCACTTTCAGAGGGGGTGTACTTGTCATTAGTGATGACAAAACACACCCTCTCTGGCCCCGCCCCCTTCTTGGGGGGCCGCTCTAATTGAAAAATGCCCGGGCCTAATTCTTTTCCCAGTCCGGCCCTGTTGCAAAGTACCTTCGGTTCTAATAAATTTGCCTCAAGTTGTTGGAGTGCCTGGATCTCTTTGCTATTTCTAGTAAAAATTAGATATGATTGCTTGTCAATTTTTGTGATGGGGCAAATATTCTCTGGAAGGTACTTTTACATTTAAATGTAAAAATCTTAATACATACAAATAGTTTCTTATAATGGGAATTGTGAAATTTCACTGTGAGACTCTCTTGTTAAAGAGCATCCTATTGCACCGTAGTAAAAAAACCTTTCAGGGGTGGTATGGGATGATTTCATGAATCCGTAATATTCTCAGGTGTATGATCAGAGAAGGGCGAAACCGTCACAGAGTCTGGTGTTGATTACATTACTTACTGTGCCTGTAAAATATGCCAAGGATTTCAGATTCAATGATTTAAAAAAAAAAAAACTTACGTTTTCACTCACGATATTATGAATTATTTATTTTTATTAACTGAATAGTCCCCATGTGTTGCTTATCAGCATATTTTAAACTACTGTTAAAGGTGAAAGTTTCAGGTGAGCAAAGCTTTCCACCACTGTAAGCAGAGCAGTCACCATCTGCGGGTTTTGCATAATATGCAGAGACTCCAGACCAGGGGTCCTCAAACTCCGGCCCCCCACATATTGCCAAACTACAACTCCCATGATTCTTTGAATTACATAGATAACCAGAGAATCATGGGAGTTGTAGTTCAGCAACATCTGGGGGGCCGAAGTTTGAGGACCCCTGCCCCGGACAATGACAGAGCCTCTTTAAGCATTTCAGCAAATCCCATGCAATTCTGAATTGGATAAACCTCCTACATAGACCCGAATTGAAACTCTCCTTCCTGGTCTGAGATGAATTTGTCTGCTGCAGAATTTGCTGCAGTCTTAGGAGCTTTATAGGTATTTTTTGCTTTTTATTACTTTAATTTTTAGCACATTTTTATAAATAATTTGGCTTCATCTGAAATGTATTCAGGCTTTATGTTTGTAAGGGGTTAGAAAATGTTGAATAAATAAATAAATAAAAAAAAAATTTTTTTTACATTAGGCTTGTGTTCCATTTAAAAAAAAAAAACATATTTAGAAGATTAAATT